ATACCTTCGATTATATTTTTTATTATTGGGGTTTTGGGATCTGCATAGGGACAGATTTGACTCATCACACCTATTTGTCGTGGTGTATACAAACACAAATGGCTAATGGGACCACATAAAGCAGAGAAAGTTCGCTTTTTTGCCGAAACATGCTGTTGTGTTAAAGGAAGGTTCATATCCTGAGTAGACTCAAAATTCGAATTCCATCTAAGCGCATCTACTACTTCACTTCTTGTATTGTAATTTTGATGTTGGTATTTTGACTTCACTTTTAAGTTCCCTTCCACAGCATTGCAAATATTTCCTATATATGTTCTTTATAATAAAGTTACTTTTATCTATTCTGATCCTTATGCTTTTTCTTGCAACTTCTTGGATATTCAGGCTACCATGTTAAAAAAGCGTAAACGCCGCAAGGTCAATCGGCGTCACACAGAGCCTGGTCTTGGGGCTAATGAGAGTGCTTCTCCTGGCGGCGGTGGTAGTAGTGGTAGTGGAGTCGGTGGTACTCCAACTGGAGCTACGGGCAGTGGTGGAGGAGGCGGGGCCAATAGTAACAGTGGTACTGCTGCTGGTGGTGGATTTGGAAGTGGAGGATTCGGTGGTGTCGTAAGTTCAGGAGTCGATGGAATTACCTCAGGCTCAAATTTAAGGACTGTAGGTTCCCATGCTGCTGTAGGCGTTGATGATGTTCCTTTACCTGTGCCCACTTCATGTGAAGCCTCAGCTTCTTCTGGGGTCTGTCCTGGTGGTATTGGCGTTGCGCCCTGTAAAGACAGTGTCAGGTCTGACTGGATTACTACTTTCTCTGGGGCGGATAGCAAGAATCAAGTCATAGAGACTGTTTCAAATGTGAACACCAATATTCTTCCCACTTCCTATCTTGCACCCTTCTCCACCACTGTGTCACCGCCCTCCTCAGCCACCTCCATCTCTTCATCCTCCTCTTCGTCCTCTCCCTCTGACGCCCCGAACTCCAGTCACTGTCCAGCATCTCCTTTCGATACTGGAGCTCTTTCTTTATCTTCACCACAGCAGGCTACTTGGATTCCGCGTCTTGAGAATCCTACAGCAGTTGATGTGGATAACGGTGATGCCGATGTGGATGATGACGACGATTCTCGTGAAACAGAATCAGCTGAGCGATCAATTTCTTCTAGACTCCTAGCACCCTTAGCTTCTTCACCAAGACCGAATCCACTACCACTTCGTGTTTCCACATCTGGTCGAGAGATAGGACCAATACTGCCACAAAGAGCCAGATCAAAGATATCTGGAATATCATCCCCTCAATCTTGCAACATTACAGAGACCACTCCACAATTAACAACAATGCCCAGCCCAGATTTGGCCGTTCAGCTAACTGGACATGGTAACTATTTTAATCAGATTTTATTCTTGTTAAAAATATCACATTATATATATATATATATAATTAATCAAGGAGAAACATTTGATGACATTGATGCAATAATGTAATTTTGGAAAAATCAGAAACTTGTGAAAAACTGAACTCGAGTTCTTGGTACATTGACAAACTGATTTGTTTGATCATTTTAAATAAGTAAACGTTGACAATGTTGCATAATTAAATTCTAATTTTATCGTTCGACATTGCTGCATTGGACGATCAAATATTGTTTCCCATTTGAATTGCATTTTCGTCGTATTGAAGCCTACTTAATCTCCCTGTTGCCTTTGGCTCATTATGCGCTATCTATAAGTTTGATATTTTAGATTTAATGGCGACGACGAATTCGAATTTAGATTGGGAGGAAGGTCGCGTTATGGTGACATGACCTGTGTGCTTCATTTTATATACGTATAAAAAGCGTGTTCTGGCGAATTAACAATAATGTTTTATTTTAATCATCGATGGTTTGAGAACTCCGCTTTACTAACATTAGCAATTCGCGGCTAGTGTCCATCTGCCTCATATAATTATAGTTTACTCTCTTTTTTTTATTTGATTACGCACAAAGTATTTAGAATTAGAAAGTGAGTGATAATTTTGTTGTTGACTGGAGCTTATTTATCGATTTTCTAACTAAGCAAAAAATGGAGCTCTCAATCAACTCTATGGACGATCGCATTGCTCTTTTAATCTTAATTGAAAGCTTAATTATGATTTCACAAGAAAACAGTGGGTTTCCATTGTTCCATAGTCGTTTGGTTTTATTTGGGATACTTAAATTGAAGCAATCCTTGAAAACCTGTTTCTTTTTATGTATAGAGAAATATATAATGATATCGTAGATATGAAAACCAAGATGGTATGGCCTTCTGTTTTGTCAAACTCTGCCTTAGCTTTACTGTGTCGGTTCGACCTTGTTTTCACAACTTGGAGCGTCACGGAGACCTTGTGGAGCGTATTTAGTTCCTTGTCCTCTGCCATAGTATTCGTGGTCCAGTATTGGACCACTGGCTGGGTACATTATCATATTTGTAT